GCGTCGTGTTCTATGCAATTTGGATGGCCTTTCATAAAACGATAACAAATAAGGCATCATCTTTTTCTAAAACGACAAGTCGTTTTAACAAACAATTGAATAATGAAAGGCCCTAGGCCTCTAACTGGGCTTGTGTAATTGTATAGTGGGGTTAATGTTGCTGCACCAGTTGAGAAGAAGAGCAGAGTTGGAGCAACCTCAGTAACAACAGTAAGAATTTTTTTACTCATCAATCTCTTTGCCCATGTTTTCATAACTAGTAAATTATGAGGGTAAAAAAAGTTGTTTCTGCAGGTTCAAGAGGCTCAAACTATAAGTTCTGGAGTCAATTTGAGGGTTCAACAGGCGAAAAATGCTGCAGTGGCACAAGCACAACAAGATGGTGCCACTGGAAACTTTAGGATCTTTGATTCACCCTTTGGGAATTATCTTGTTCCAGTTGTTCCAACTTCCAAGGAACTGTCTGATTAGTTTCATATCAAATCATATGTCTTGAGTTCTAACTCATTATGTATACAACATGTGATTGCTGCACATGCAGAAGTTTTGTTTGGAGATGTACGAAACATGCTTTTGCAAGTATTCATTACCAATTTTGCTTCTTCTGCTGCTGTCTCTGTGTGCTGCCTCTGCTCCTTCTGTTGTGCATTGTTTTGTTGTTGTTGTTGTTCCCGTGGATAAGGGCGGTGGCGTCTGGCTTTTTCTACTGTTGCTTGTTTCAGTCAACAATGTACTTCAGACTTGCAAAAGAAGGATAAAGCTTGTATTGACTTACTCAATTTTTCTCTCTTTCTTCTTGTCTCCTTGTGTTAGACGTGCACATTCAGTGTTGCTTAAACAAAAGGTCATATAGGTTGGGGAGCTAATTTAGAATTTTTTATCATCCAGAACTAGTCAATTCTTCTATTTATAAATGTCTTTAAAGAAAAAATACAAATAAATAAATGAATGAAGTCATTGGGATATGCAAGGGCGTGAGTAGGATCAAATGAAATAAACCAAGTTAAATTAATGATGCATGCATATCTATCTACATACTATATAGAAAGAAGACTTTCATGCTATCAACCTAAGACAGATGAATATAAAACAGAGAGAAAAATAGTAAGAGATATCGCTTGTTGGAAAATCCGAGTGAGTTGATGTTTACCAATTTGTTACAACTAGTGGGTTCTATCCAGTTTGGATTAGATTTTCTTTAAAACAAAAGGGCAGAATATATTCATTACTAAAAAGAAATAACTTGAACAAGAGCAGCATAACCATATCATCATACATTCAATCAAGAATCGAATAAAATAGAGCAGATGAAGCTGTCGGACTATCCATCCCAAGGCAGGTAGCACAAAACTTTTAACCAATTCTGAGTTGACAAATTCACCATTTTCCTTTTTCTTTTAATTCAATTTTGATAAAGGCAATAGCATTCTGACAACTAACACATCCAAGAAGAGAAAAAAGATGCCTCTGAAAACAATCTAGGACCACTTTTTGGGATTCCTTTTCTTGATGGAACTGAAATGGAACCTCCGCATATGAAGGACAAGTACCAAATAGAGGGTGGACCCATTGAGTAATTTTGGCTGGACCTAAATCATCTGCCTATGTTCAACACTTGTCTGGATCGAATTGGATTGAATTGGATTGAATTGGATTGGCTCGGAGCTTAAAATACTACCCTGGTAGATAGTCACTTGAATCTTTGATGCTCTCATTACACAAAAGCTTGCAGCTTTGTAGGGTCGCATGATCTTCATCTCAACTTACCACCATTTTGAAGATTATCTTAAATTCAACCTAATGTTTGTAGTGTGTGTGGAAAAGAACTTACTTGCAACCACGACATAGAGCATTCGTTTTTTTCTCCCTCCTTACGTGATGTTTTATGTCACGGTTATACAAAAATTCTCCTCTTCCGTGAATTGTACCAGTTAAAAACAATGCAACTAAGAAATTCAAAAGCAATAGCCAATAGTTACACGAAATTTCTCCTCATTCGTGCGTGCTACGAGTTAGATACAATACAACTAAGAAAATTGAAAAGCAACAGCCAGGAGATCTGTTTTGTTTCAATAGCTGTCTTGCTTCCATTTGAATCCTCTGTGTTTTTTTTCTGGTGTCCAGTGAGAACTCAGGGGCAACTTGCCCACTTTCTTTTTCAGCGATGACTAATCACTGACTTGGATTATAGTCCAATTTGGATGGTTTATAGTTGTTAACTTGAAAATCAAACTCAGATTTAACATGTATCTTTACACTTTCTGTGGGCCCTCAAGTTGATGGTAATGTGATGGGCAGTCCTTAAATCATAAACATCTTTCTTTTTCGCTGCTCTTGTTTACCAGAGGTTTTGATTGAATCACACAAGGGAAAGTCTACTTTTCCTTTCTCATAAATCTTCCAACCTTGATGAGGTATACTTCTCAAAATATTTCAATTTCACAAATTTAAAATGTTATGTGTGTGTGTGTGTATATATATAATATTTGAATTGAAATGAATTATTTTCCTTTTTATTATTTTTATTTTTAACACAAACGATATTAAAAACAGAGAATTTGAACCAACAATCTCAGTTGCAACAATAACCGCTTTAACTACTAAAGTTACAACTTTTGTTTTGTTTTTAATTTTTAAGGTTTTGGTTGGAAGCAAAGAAAATCCTAACTTTACACATGGGAATGAGGGAGAACCTCACACGCAGCCTTCCCTAAACTGAAAACTACCACCTCAAGGAATCATGTTCGTCCATGGAAACAGAGAGCTTGACAGGTCAATCTCGTAATTTTAACTCAAAACCATGCCCTTTTTCCCCATTTCCCTCCGAACCAAACCATCCAAAAAAAAAAACAGGGAAATTCATTTGACGCCACACCAGTGCTAAGTTCATTAAAAAAAAACTTTTATTTTTCTAGAAAATGTGAGAAAATCAGAAAGACAATAAGGAAAAAGAAAAATACTAAAATTTTCCGAGAAAACAAACAGAGCCAAGAAAATCATTTAAAGCATGCACACACTCACTCGCTTCTCGCCTCGCGTTTTTCGCTACCTTTTTTCTCCGAGAAAGCTGAGAAAACAGCTTAGTTTCCCATAAATTAGGCTGGAATTCCTTGATTAGCGATTTTCCATTTGTATCCCTCCCCAGTCCGATCTAAAGCTTAGGGCTTTTTATCTTCTCAAATTCTTACACTTTCTCGGTCTCTGTCTCTCTCCAGCTGTCTCACTTCCCCAATACGCATGCAAGCATACAAGCACGAGTCTTTCAATCGGCCAATTGATTCCTGACCAGAAAATCGGATTCAGAAGAGTTCAAATTCAGGACCAATCAAAGATTCATCTTTTGAGAGAGAAACAAAGGCCAATTTGGTAATTTGAGCGGTGGTTTTGGTGGTGGTGGTGATGGGGAAGGTGGCGGTGGGGGCGGCAGTGGTGTGCGCGGCGGCGGTGTGTGCTGCGGCGGCGCTGGTTGTACGACACCGTATGAAGAGCTCGGGGAGGTGGGCCCGGGCTATGGCGATACTGAGGGAGTTCGAGGATAAGTGTGGGACCCCCATCGGGAAGCTGAGACAGGTGGCTGACGCCATGACTGTGGAAATGCACGCTGGCCTCGCATCCGAAGGCGGCAGCAAGCTCAAGATGCTCATCAGCTACGTCGATAACCTCCCCACTGGGTATTCTAATTTATCTCACCCGCCCTTTATTTTGTTTTTTTAATAATTGGGATTGAAAGAGTCGTAATTTGAGCTTTGGATTGGATAAAATAGGCTTATTGGGTTCGATAATTTTGAACTGTGACAATCGATGTCTGTTTTTGGATTGAGTTATTGGCCTTTAATGTTAATTTCTTTTTAGAAGGACTAAAGATCGATTTTTTCTCTGTTCTATTTTTGAATTCGTAACCCATTTATTTGTTTTGATTAATAAATACGGGTTAGTTATGTTGATGTTATGCTTATTTGGCGATTTCGTGGAACTTGGTTTTTATGTTTCTGTATTGGGTATAATGTATTCACTGATTTCTCCTTATCTTAGGTTTTTACCAATATCACCTTTGCTGTTTTTGATTTGTTCCACAGTCTGATTTCCAGTCTCTGTCGCCTGGTCGATTATTTCTTCTTTATTTCTTCTTTTATTTATTTGAAGCTGTCAAGTTTGCTTCTGTTCATTGATTGTAGGAATTGTGCATTTACATGCCGCTCCCATGCGAGTGTTTGCTTCAAAGTAATTCCTTTATATTTGATCTAAATCTAGAAATGATGGCTTGGTTTTTTAAAATTTGCGGTAAGGCGTACAAGGTTGCAAATTCCTTATCCCATATGTGCATATGATGGGGCTTTTATTGTTCTCTAATTAGTTTCCATCTTTAGTATGTTCTTCATGGTTTGTGGGCTGCGTTATGTGAGTATATCGAACTGTCATACTGGGTAGATTATATTGATGGTTTGTGTTAATAAATTGAGCTGAGTGACTGACCATGTGTGAGCCATATTTCGTGTCTTTTCCCCCCTTTATTACATGTTTGACTAATTGGGGGCCTATTGGATGTGTAGTACTTTCCCATTACTTTCATCCTTATCTTTTCAGGGATGAGCAAGGGCTGTTTTATGCATTGGACCTTGGTGGGACAAACTTCCGCGTCATACGTGTACAGCTTGGTGGGAAAGAAAAACGTGTTGTTAAACAAGAATTTGACGAAGTTTCAATTCCACCAAATTTGATGACTGGGACTTCAGAAGTTAGTATTTCTTTAGGCAATCTTTTAAACCTGATTAGATTTGTTCCTACTTGGTAATAATTTATCACGACTTGGTTTCAGGCATTATTTGATTTTATTGCTGAAGCACTTGCAAAATTTGTTGCTACGGAAGGAGAAGGTTTTCATCCTGCTCCTGGTAGACAAAGGGAGCTGGGTTTTACCTTTTCATTTCCTGTGTGGCAAACATCAATCGCATCAGGAACCCTTATTAAGTGGACAAAAGGCTTCAATATTGAAGACGCGGTACTTTGACACCTCTTGCTATATTGGTTTTTGTTTGTAGTTAGTCAAGTAGATCACGTCTGGAGTACTCTGTGCCTGATAAAGTGGGTATTGGAGCTTTCTTAACATATGTTCTACCTAAAACTTTATTTACTATCCTTTGAGTACCTAATTGATTTGTTCCAATAATAAAATTTAGTAGCTCTGGACTAATCTTTTATCGTTGGTGCCCCCTTTGACAGTTTCCTTTGTTAATATTGGTGCAGGTTGAGCAAGATGTGGTGGGAGAGCTGACCAAATCAGTGGAAAAAATTGGCCTTGATATGCGTGTTACAGCTTTGGTAAGTCTAGTTTCAGCAATTCTGGTTTTCCTGTTATGCTTTGACTAGCTAATTTAAACCTGGTTTGATATAGTATCTGTCTTGATGGGTTGGTGATTTAGTGCTAAATCATTTTGGACAATCCTAACTTGCCAGGCTGATGCAGGTCAATGATACAATTGGTACATTAGCAGGAGGTAGATACCACAATCAGGATGTCATTGCTGCTGTGATATTGGGCACTGGGACAAATGCTGCTTATGTAGAACGGGCTCATGCCATTCCAAAATGGCATGGTCTTCTACCTAAATCAGGAGAGATGGTTAGTTTTTTTATTGTATGAATTTTGCTATCAAATTGTGGGACTATGGTTTGTTGTCTGGTGCTAAGGTTTAGTTCTATGGTTGAATATTGCTAATTCATTGTTTATTTTCATGAATAGGTTATCAACATGGAGTGGGGTAACTTTCGCTCATCACACCTTCCACTGACAGAATACGATCAAGCACTTGATGCTGAGAGTTTAAATCCTGGAGATCAGGTAACGGCATTTTCCTTTACTTGTTTCTACTTATGTGGATGGCTTGATGGACATGCGATAATATGGAATTGATTTTTGTTTGCAGATCTTTGAGAAGATCATTTCTGGCATGTATTTAGGGGACATTGTGCGCAGAGTATTGTGCAAGATGGCTGAAGAAGCTTCCTTTTTTGGTGATGTTGTCCCCCCAAAACTGAAAGTTCCCTTCATACTAAGGTATATTCTAATATTTTTTGTAGACCATTTGATTTATAAATATTGTTAGCATGAAGTGTGTTTGTGTGTTCTCATATTTAATTTGGTTTTATGTTTTGAATTGACTTGTTTCTGTAAAATACTGTCACTTGAGTGTACAATATTTTGTTGCATGCTTGCAAAGTTAATAAAGGTTATTGAATATTGCATACAAAACCTAAATCCTACCCATTAGCCCATCGATCTGATTCTGGTAAGTATTTGAGAGTTTACCTTCTGGCTATTCTTCTTGTTCTCTACTGCCTGCTATGTAGTGTTTAGAGTTTTCTGAGTCTTTATGGTGGTGTTGTAATATGCGCAGGACTCCTGACATGTCTGCCATGCATCATGACACGTCTCCAGATCTAAGAGTGGTTGGGAGCAAACTAAAGGATATCCTGGAGGTACATTGCTCATACTATTAGATGAAATCATCATTTTGTTATCTAGCTGTGCAATGTACTTCAGTTTTTCTTTTCCTTTTCATAATTCTTTTGGGAGGGAGGTAAGAAAAGTAAAAGCAAGAAAAGGTTGAAAGTATTATATCCTTCATTGAATCACATTTTCATAGAGTGAACATGGTACAGTCATGTGTTTTTTGCGGCATCCTTAAACATGCACTTTTAGAAAGCGCGGCTAGAATTTCTATTTTTCTTTAGAATTTCTAAGTCAATCTCAAGACAGGTGACATGCGTCTATGGTGTTTGTTTGTCAATAATTGTAGATCTCCAACACCTCGTTGAAAATGAGAAAGGTTGTTGTGGCGCTATGCGACATAGTTGCCACTCGTGGGGCCCGCCTCTCTGCTGCAGGGATCATGGGAGTGCTGAAGAAGTTAGGTAGAGACACAGTAAAGGAGGGAGAGAAGCAAAAGTCGGTTGTAGCATTGGATGGTGGTTTGTATGAGCACTACACCGAATTCCGAACCAGCATGGAGAGCACTCTCAAGGAGTTGCTGGGTGATGAAGTTGCTGAGCACATTTCCGTCGAGCACTCAAACGATGGCTCCGGAATTGGAGCTGCCCTCTTGGCAGCCTCTCACTCCCAGTACCTTGAGGTAGAGGAGTCATAAAAGGGTCAAGACCAGGGTAGATGAATGAAGTGTGACACTCTCAATTTTTGTATATTTCATTTTCCCCATCTTTTCACTATTTGCTTCGGATCAGTTGGAGCTGTTCTCAGCTCCTATTTCGAGAGATCTTGCATCCCATCCGTAATTTATGGTCCTTCAACGCTTGTAATTGGCGAATTCGGATCATAATGGCCAGTTGGCTAAGCTTTCTTGCTGCAGCTTGTTTTGCTCTACGGATGTGTAGGCGTTGTGTTATCAGTGCATAAGCTTATTTCTCCTGGATTATGTAATAAAATAGGGGGATGTAAACTGTGAGTAGTTTACTTTTTGCGGAATATTTTCTACTCTCTTTTTTCAAATAAAACAGGATTCTTATGGGCTATCAGCAACAATTTTATCTTGTTTTTGCAGTTCGGAACTTACTGTTCCTACTGATTGTTGTGAAGTTTGGACACCCAGTATCACACGTATACTAATTTTAAGAGTCCTCTTCTTAATATTATACATATGGTACTAATATACAGGGTAGTTTGGCCTAATAGATGCATCTTCTCTTTGGCCGCATGAATATACTCTTCGTTATCCTAAGTGCCACCTTCTGGATCCTATGGTGTACATTTGATCAGCTTCAGACCAATCTGAAACGAAAGTCTTATTTCCCCTTTATTGGTTACCTCGTTGAATTCAACCCAGTCTATCACACATTTGTCACCAAACCACCATCAGTCTTCCAGTATCTGCTTGCGCTTCGAATTCTTTAGTAGAGGAGCAGCAATATACTCGATCTTCTCGATGTGAACTACCGGGTGGTTGCACCGGAGCAAGATTTGCAGAACATCCTTCATGGAAGGCCTAGCAGATGGTAGTTTCTCGGTGCAGTAGATACCAAGTTTGAAAACGGAGCACATATCATCCAAGTAACAAGGTTCTTTGATGTCCTGGTCCAAAGCATCAGCAAGAGGGTTGTCTTCTTGAGCTAGGCGCCATGCCCATTCAGCAAGAGAAGTGTGTTCGTCGCCATCATTAGCTTCCCTACCGGTGGTTAACTCCAGAAGGACGACCCCAAAACTATATACATCAATCTTCTCATTCACTCGTATAGTATGAGCACATTCTGCATTCAAGTGAAAAAAAAAAACACTAGTGAGATTGCTAATGGAAAGAGAGGAAAAATAACACATATTTCTTTTGGAACTAACTTCAACATTTGTAGGGTGTAAGGTTTACCTGGAGCAATGTAGCCAAAGGAGCCAGCAACAGCTGACATTGTAGCAAGTTCTCCTTGCTTGACCAACATCTTGGCTAGACCAAAATCTGCTATTTTTGCATTAAAATCAGAGTCTAACAAGATGTTACTTGATTTCACGTCTCGATGCACAACGGGTGGCACACAGTCATGATGCATGTAGCAGAGGCCCTGAGCAGCCCCCACTGCAATATGCAACCTCTTAGGCCAGTCCAGCGCAACATGGTGGACTGACCTGGAGAGATTGGATGGCCTGTTTCTCTTGTTCAGCCATCGATCCAGGCTTCGATTCTCCAAGTACTCATAGACAAGTAGTTTTGAATTGTCCTTGGATATACAGCACATCAGCTTCACTATGTTGGCATGTCGAATGGAACTCAATATCTTGACTTCTGCAAGAAATTCTTTTTCAAGCTTCTCTTCTAACTTCTTATCTTTCCAAATATTTTTCACGGCAACAACATCGCCTGTACAATTGACAGGAACACAATAAACTTTCCCTGATCCGCCACTTCCAATAAAATTACTTTCTGTCAATCCTGAGAGAATTTTTGACACTGTGAAATTCAACCTCTGAAATGAGGTGAGCTGCCAATAAGAATCTGATCCGTTTCTCTTCCAATAACCTCTGACCATGAAGAATGATAAGGACAAAGCCAAGAAGGACAAAAGTATGCCGAAAGTTATGATCAATACAAGATACTTGGACAAAATTTTGCTGGACTTCCGGGGTTCAGAATTGCATATGCTGAGTTTTTCTGATAAGCTAATTGCACATAGACCTTGATTGTCCAAGAAGCTTCTGTCATAAGCAGGATTTTCAAATTCAAATGGGATCTTCCCAGATAGGTGATTGGAAGAGAGATTGAAATGGTTGAGCTTCAGACGCCCAAGCAGAGCTGGAATTTGGCCAGAAAGTTGGTTTTCTGAAAGATCCAGTTCAGTAAGGACTGGTAGAAGACCAAGTTTCTCTGGAATTGGTCCAGAGAGTTGATTTCCACTGAAATTAAGAGTGTTGAGTGATTTCCATGATATAATCTCTGATGGAAGGAAGCCAGTAAGCTGATTCTGATAAAGAGAAAGAGTGATTAAGCTAGGAAGAGCAGTAAGTTCCTGAGGGATAGTACCGTTAAAAAGGTTATTACCGGCGTCAAAAACCTTCAAATTCGTCCAGGAAGACACCCCGGTTGGAATCTTACCTGAAAACCTGTTATCTCTGATTTCCAGCCGCGAAAGATTCCAAGACATTTTCTCAGGAAGCTCACCGGTAAAAGAATTCTTGTTCATTAGTACCTGACTCAAGTTTGTTGCTGTCCACATGCCACTAGGAATGTTCCCAGACAACCCATTATCATAAACCTTGACTATCACCAAACTAGTGCAATTTCCAAGAGAGCTTGGTAACTCCCCAGTGAGATTATTCTCATGAGCTACAAGTCCTACCAGCTTACCCAAATAACACAAATGGTCTGGCAGTTTACCAGCGAGCCTATTTCCCGAAACCTCGAACCCTTCAAGCTCTGAATACCTCCCAAAGTCCGGAGGCAATGTTCCTGTCAAGTTATTGTCGTACACTTTGAAATCTATGAGATTTGGTAGACGGCCAATGCTTGCTGGAATCTCATCAGTAAAACCGTTATAAAACAAAGCTAACCCTGTTAACTTGGTAAGCTTTCCATAATCTTCTGGTATTGGCCCTGTTAAAAGGTTGTCAGAAAGATCAATAACTTTCAAGTTCAATGCTTCAACCACTTGAGGTATATCCCCAGACAGGCGGTTCTTGAAGAGATAGATTATACTCAAATTCTTCAACAGAAACAAACAGCTTGGGATTGCCCCATTCAAACGGTTCTTTGCCAAATCCAATTCTTCCAGTGCTGCCATTTCCCCGAGTGTTCTAGGGAGCTGTCCGATCAAATTTGATTCTCGTATCCATAAAGTCTTCAAATTTTTCAACTGGGTGAAATTTGAAGGCATGTTCCATGGCACAAGTTTTATATTGCTAGAGAGATTTAGGTCTTTAAGATTGGACAAGTTACCTATTTCTGGTGGGACGGAGCCATTAAACTCGTTCATAAACAGCTGCAGGTTCCTGAGCTCATGTAACCGCCCAATGGCCGCTGGTATATCACCAGAAAAGTTGTTACCGGCAAGGCTAAGGTATCGAAGCCGAGGCAGGCTGTCGATATCGTCAGGAATCTTGCCAACAAAGTAGTTTTGAGAGAGGTCCAGGTACTCTAGCTTTGAACAGTTGTAGAGAGCTTTTGGGAACTCTCCAGGAAAGTAGTTGTAGCTGAGATCAACGAGTGTGAGGTTCTTGAGATCACAAATGAAAGGTGGAACTGATAGGGTGATGTTCATGTCGACCAGAGACAATCCGGTGACGGAGTTGTTTGTGCAGGTGATCTCAGGCCGCCAGGAACAGTGGGAAGTGTTTGATGTTGATGGAATCCAATGGCTGAGGAACGGTGGAGATTGCAAGTATGATTTTAGTTTTAGCAGGACAGCTTGTTCTTGGTCTTGCAATGACTGAGAGTTGGCATGGCTGATGAGGAGGAGGGGGAGGAAGAGAAGGAAGCAGAGATGGGTGTGGAGAGAAGATGTTTGGGTGAGTTTAGTCATTTTGTGATGGAGGTTCATAAGTTGGTCTGTTCCCGCGGTTTGAACACTGGTTTTGAGGACAAGTTAATTAGAGGATGCTCATTTCCTTTAAGGATGTCGAAAAACTGGAGACTTCAAAGTCATTTGCTGGGTCAATGGTGGACCGTGAAAAAGGTGCCGTCAATGGAGGAGACCAAGACTCTACCACCAGTGTGTGGAGGAAAAAGGTGTGGTTAACTTATTATATTCCATTTTTCCGATTTACAAGAAGCAAATTATATATGCATTTCATTTCCAAAATTTTTGTTTGCTTTATTTTCTTATTTTAATAAGTCAAGGATCTGAGTTGAAGACCAGGAGCCCAATTAGTTGACATTATGCATACATAATGCGTGGATGTCCGGATAAGAGAAAACTGTATTGAATGGTTGCGCGTGAAGGACGAGAAGGCAGATGTCAATCCAGCGATGGGGGCAAGCAGCAGCAGTGTGTTGAGTAGTAGAGCAGGTGGGACACCAATTGGAAGGAGGAGGGCCCAACACATCTTGGTCAGCCGAAGGGGGCCGTGAGCTAAAGCCACGACCAGCTGAGGGTTGTGGAGGGCCATTCCAGGGAGCCCAACTAGGTGTTTGCCAAGAAGAGGATTGAGGGGAGAATGCATTCCATCGATCACCACGATGGGAGCCATTGCGGTTCCAGCCACCATTGAGGCCATTACGGTTATTACGGCCGTTACCACCATTGCCGCGGGAGACATGAGAGGTTTGGGAGAGGCCAGGTCCACCACGAGGTGGCCCAGATGACTGAGCTGCCATTAGGGCAGTGCTGAACGCAAACATCGCCACATTGCCACCATGACCCGTATTCTCCTAAACACTTCTCACATGCCTCTCAATCTTTGGGTCGAAGCTGCTCTAACCTCTGTTCATCTTATTAATCTCCTTCCTACTCCTATCTTAAATTGGTCTACCCCTTACTCTGTTCTCTTCTCCAAACCCCCAATTTATTCTCATCTCCGTGTCTTTGGGTGTTCTTGTTTTCCTTTTCTTGGTCTTTATGTTAATCACAAGTTACTGAGTCGTTCCTTGGAATGTGTTTTCATTGGCTATAGCCTCCATCACAAGGGTTATCGTTGCCTTGACCCATCCACGGGCCGTGTCTACACATCTCGACATGTTATTTTTAATGAAGATTGTTTTCCTTTTACTAAGTTGCAAGTATCTTCCTCATCCCCTTATGTGGCGTTAGACCTTTCTCCACTTCCTACTATACCACTGCCTCCACCACCCGTGGCCCACTTGCCCATTGATCCCGTGCAGCCCCTTTCCCCACAAGGACCACTTCTTCATCCGGTTTCTCCAGGCCCAGCTTCCCAACCCACCCCCGTGGGCCTCAATTCCTCTACAGCCCAGTCAGCCCCTGCTGACCCTGCTTCTCAGTCTGCCCCTGTTGATGCACTCGCATCCCAGTCCGCCTTTACTGACTCCATAAACCAGGCGGATCATGTGTCTACATCAGCCCCACGGGTTCTGTCGCTCTCACATACCCAACATCCTGTTCTATTGCTGCATTGCCTGCCTCCCATGTTGCAATTGAGCCTGCGCCTCCTGTCGCAGCCAACCAGCCAGCACCTCACCCGATGGTTACTCGATCTCGCACTGGCACACTCCATCCTAAAATTCGCACTGATGGGACAGTTAGGTATCTCATTTCTCGTGCTCTTTTAGCAGCTGTCACTGATCAAGAACCGACTTGTTTTTCTCAGGCTCAGAAACATGTTGAATGGCGCGCTGCCATGACTGAAGAAATTAACGCTCTCTTGAAGAATAACACTTAGACTCTTGTTCCGTCTACCCCATCTCAAAATACGGTCGGCTGTAAGTGGGTATTTCGAATCAAGCGTACTTCTGATGGTCGTATTGAGCACTACAAAGCCCGTCTTGTTGCCTAGGGTTTTCATCAACAACCAGGCATCGACTACGCTGAAACCTTCAGCCCTGTTGTCAAACCTGCCACCATCCGCACAATTCTTACTCATGCCCTCTCTCGGGGTTGGTCCCTCCGCCAACTCGACGTAAAAAATGCCTTCCTCCATGGCATTCTCAACGAAGATGTCTACATGGCTCAACCACCAGGTTTTGTTGACCCCACTCGCCCTAATAATGTCTGCAAGCTTCACAAGGCCTTATATGGCCTCAAGCAGGCACGGGGTGCCTGGTTCCATCGCATTAGCTCGTTTCTTCTTTCCTTTGGCTTCCAACACAACCAATCTGACTCTTCTCTTTTTTATTTTTCGGCATGCCTCTTATGTCATATATTTATTGTTATATGTTGACGACATCGTGGTCACAGGAAATGATTCCAGTTTCTTCACCACTTCATCACTGCATTAGGCCATGCCTTTGATATTAAGGATTTTGGTCCGCTTCATTTCTTTCTGGGCCTCTAAGTTACCACCAAATCTGATGGCCTTCATATCTCACAGCTGAAATATGCCCACGACTTACTACATCGTCATGGCATGCTTCACTGCAAACCTGCCAACACTCCATTGGCTGCCAAAGTTCCTTTGTCCACTTCCGACGGTGTGCCCCTGGAGTCTCCCTCTCACTACCGTGAGATTGTTGGTAGTCTTCAATACTTGACATTAACTCGCCCGAACTTATCCTTCGCGGTCAACTCCGTTGCTCAGTTCATGGCTGCTCCTCGTACCTCTCACCTTGTCACTGCCAAGCGGATCTTACGGTATGTCAAAGGCAAGCTCGACTTCGGTCTCTCTCTAAGCCCGCAACCATCCACTGCCCGCCTCAGTGCCTACTTCGATGCAGATTGGGCTGGCTGTCCAGATTCGCGTCGCTCTACCAATGGCTACCTCATCTATTTGGGCTCCAATTTAATCTCTTGGTGTTCCAAAAAGCAACCCACTGTTGCTCGTTCAAGTGCGGAATCCGAGTATCGCTCCCTTGCGCACTCATGTGCTAAGACTACCTGGCTCTCCTATCTACTCTCCGAGCTTGGTGTTTCTCTCCACTTTCCTATTCTTCTTCATTGTGACAACCTGAGTACGACATACATGGCCGCAAACCCAGTCTTTCATGCTCGGACGCGTCATATCGAGCTTGACTACCATTTTGTCCGTGAAAAAGTAGCTCTTGGAAGTCACCAAGTTCGTTATATTCCCTTTATTGATCAACCAGTTGATCTTCTTATGAAGGCCCTACACAAGCCACGCCATGCTCTCTTAAGACCCAAACTTGTCCACCCAGGGCTGTCCAGTTTGCGGGGGGGTGTCAATCCAGCGATCACAGCCATTATTTCCTCCACTGATGAATCTCAAAATGATGCTGATTGATATCATGATCACCAAAACATTTGCTACGGGTAATAGCCCTTTGTATTTACCATAATAGTTCCATCAAAAGTCAACTGTACTCTATATATATATTGTACAACTGTATCCACATAATATATCAAGATATTACATTCTTTACAGCAGAACTTCAATTGAAGCTTCCCGGAAGGAGGCCAATTGAAAATTGTGAAGTGTGAACAAAGAACGCCTTTGTTTAATGGAGACTTTGACCCAACAAAAGTATAGAGTTTTGGTCCAGATGTTCACTCGAAAATTATGAATGGTAAGAGTAATGGCAGGTACGTCTGGTTTTCCACTGATATAGACAGGAAAGGAAAAGAAAATGAAAGCAAAATTCAACCGGAAGGAAGAATTGCAGATTGTGACAAAATGCCTTTGAATGGAAAACAAGGGGCATAGCATAGGTGGGTTGTTCTCTTCCTGACACTTCACTTTTCTTTGTCATAGAAGATGATGCACAAAATTTCAGTTCATGTGGGCTGTTGGTGTAAATAGAATCTCTGATGTAATAAACCCCATGGTAGTTTATAAGTCTATCAAAATATATGGATTCCATGGTTTGTAGAAACTGAAACTTTATATGTCACTTGTTTACCTGTGAGTCAATAACCAAGCTTCAAGGACCATGCTGATAACTTAATAAACCACAGAAGTGTATGAAGTTTGTTATTTACCCCCCAAAAAAAAACTGTATGAAGTTTGTTGACTCACCAGTCACCACTTGCTTTGAGGACATGTGATGTGAATCACCAAAAAGAAGCCCACTGGCACAAAACCAAAAACTAATTGTTAGAAAGAGGCTTTGAGGCTTGAGCTTCCTTTTGTATAATAGTATAGTTCTAGGTATGCCGGAGTAGTGCGTCATTCTCTCCTTACGCTCAAGTTAAATCCACATTTTCATATATTAGAATAATTTAGAAGTAATTTAGACTGTCAATTGTATAAAAATTAGTGTAGTTTTGGAGTATTCAAAGGGAAAAAGCATACAAGGCATACCCCTCATCTAAAAAAGGGAATAGCAAAACAGTATTACCTTGCAAGTTTTTCTGCTAAGAGGGGCCAGTCCTAGCAGAACAAGATGGCCATTACCTTGAGTAGTTACAAGCAATGTTTTTAAAGGTGAGGCATATAGGAAAGCGTTTTTAGTAGAGCTATATGATAGGATATTTAGTACCTGTGCAAATAGGGTTAAAATCACATAAAATACTTGCAAGAATACAAGGCTATTGTAGTATAGATGCTCATGCAAGGTCGTTCTCCTCAAGGACTATTTAGCACTTTATGTATAAACAATTTCCAATTTACTACCTAAAATTGAAAGTAGAGAAAGATGAATAAGAACTTGTGTGATACTAAAAACAAACTTTAAGCAAAAAAAAAAAAAAAAAAAAGATTGAAGGAAAGAAGTTTAAATACCAATTTATAAAAGCACTAGGGATTCACCATCACCTATCAATCCTATGCATTTTTACAAATTACTTATGATTTGCACATGCCACTTTGAAGGTTAGGTTTTCCTAATTTATATTCTACTTGGAACCTCCAACATAAAATGTATATCCAACATGCAACCAGCCCGGACGTTCGGATCAAGTTTGAACATAAAAAACTCATTAAGTTTTGTGAAAACCCTTTGAAAAACCATGCAATCTTTAAGACGTGATGTTCATCTTAAGTGAAATTACAGTTATTAACCACAAGAAGCCAGCGTCAATTTCAGGGAGCCATCCGACCAAAATTGCATTCAATTACTTTTCTAAAGATCTTAATCGTGATAAGGCATTAAGACAATTAGATAGTTTAAAACAGTGATTAACAATTCAAAGTATGCATGCACTCAATCATAAAACAATTAAATAAAAATCACATATTCATGCTGTTGGAGGTAAAAACTAGACAGTAGTAATTAGACCAACCTAAAAATGAGGAGGAGGATGATGAAGGTGAGAACCCTCGGTATGTGAGAGCATTCGGTAAGTACATAGACATGCATACAGAAGACAAATGTACGTGGTTCACCCGAATAATAGGCTACGTCCACGGAGAAGTATGTTCTCATTATGATAAAGACTGTATACATTGCACATAGGGTTAGACCCAAGGAGAGGAGGAAGAATGCCGGAGGCTGAAGGTCGAAGGCTGAGGGCCGAAGGCGGAGGGTCGAAGGCTGAGGATCTGGCTGAAGGCAAATGATCTGTGGGCTTGTAAATGGACTTAGGAGTAAGCCCATGAAGCCCTTATGAGTCATATGGTGCCCTAGTAGTCTGTCTAACTCTCTCATTTCTTGAAGGACATGAGTCTCCTTTTATAAGTGAGGGAGAGTCCCATCTTTTTGTGTTTTGTCGATGTGGGACTCTCCTTCCCTTTGCTTGGATTGGCTTGGGAGTGCTTGGCCAGATATTGTACAAATAGGAGTCCCCCAAGTTCTCGATTAAGGAGGTACTTCTTGATTGGGGACTTGTAGTCATCAATGCACTGGCCAAGCAATGCTTCAGCCTCTTCTTCGCTTTCTCTTGTATGCAGTATCGGTGCAGAGTTGTTGAGTCAGTACCCTCTGATCACCACAGGTAATGGTACTGAGTGCTGAGTAGCAATTATTGAAAGGTATGGAGATTGAGTCGCATGACAACTATTGGAGGCATGCATTATCATAGGTGCTGAAAGTGTTGCTGCAATAATGAGTGTCGTTCAGCAGTTGGGATAGGTGCCGGAAGCTTAGAGGATTCTTCATGTGCCGTTCGGCATGACACTATAAGAGAGAAATGTCTCTATGAGGTGCCGTTCAGCATGTGGTCTTGAGAAAATGTGTCGTAAGGTAGAAGATCTTTCATGTGCCGTTTGGCAGGTAGTTTTGAGAATATACGCTTTTCCTTCATCGGGTGCCATTTGGCAGGTAGTCTTGGAGCAGAAATGAAGAGATATCTCATGGGAGGTGTCTTTCAGCATGTGGCTCTGAGAAGAGGCGCTAGAGAAGTATCACCCGTGGGGTGCCATTCGGCAACGCAAGAGCTGGAAGATGCCTTTGGAGCTTTGGGAGCTGCCGTAAGCTTTGGGACCTGATGCCATTAGTTAGGAGTTGCTATTGTAAGCTTTGGAAGCTGGTGCCGAAAGCTTGGGAGCTGATGCTGTTATTCTTCATGAGGTGCCAGCAGGTAGCCTTGGCGCCGTAAGTGAAAAGTGTCGCTCGGCATGGCCTTGAGAAGAGGCGCTGGAAAAGTGTCACATGTGGGGTGCCGTTCGGCAACGCAAGTGTTTACGAACTGATGCCGTAAAGTTGATGCTGGAGTTGCAGCCGTAAGCTTTAGAAGTTGCTGCCGTAAGCTTGGGAAGCTTAGGAGGCCTACTGCCGTAAGCTTTGGGCCGAAGGCAAACGCCGAATCATTGAGGGGATGTGAAGACATTGCACGAGCCAAATGATGGAAGGGTGCCAAAGGCAGATACCGAATCATTAGGGAGATGTGAAGACATCGCACGCTCCAAATGATGCAAAGGTACCGACAGCAGATGCCGAATCATTGGGGGATGTGAAGACATCGCACGCCGAATGACGTAAGGGTGCAGAAAGCAGATGCCAAATCATTAGGGGATGTAAAGATATCGCGCGCCGAATGATGCGGGCAGATGCCGAATCATTGGGGGATGTGAAGATATGGTACGCGCCGAATGATGCAAAGGTGCCGACGGCAGATGCCGAATCATTGGGGGATGTGAAGACATCGCACGCCGAATGACGTAAGGGTGCCGAAGGCAGATGCCGAATTATTAGGGGATGTAAAGTCATCTCGCGCCGAATGATGCAAGAGTGCCGACGACAAATGCCGAATCATTGGGGGGATGTGAAGACATCGTACGCCAAATGACGTAAAGGTGCCGAAGGCAGATGCAGAATCATTTGGGGGGATGTGAAGGCATCGCACGCGCCGAATGATGCAAAGGTGCCGACGGTAGATGCCGAATCATTGTGGGATGTGAAGACATCGCACGCCGAATGACGTAAAGGTGCTGAGGGTACTGAATGTAAGAGTGCTGAGGGGCACTTGTTGTAGGGTGCCGAGGGCAATCGAAAAGGAGAACGACATAGACTTTCGTGTCGCTTCCCACAGACGGCGCCAATCTGTTGGAGGTAAAAACTAGACAGTAGTAATTAGACCAACTTAAAGATGAGGAGGAGGATGATGAAGGTGAGGACCCTCGGTATGTGAGAGTATTCGGTAAGTACATAGGCATGCATACAGAAGACAAATGTACGTGGTTCACCCGAATAATGAGCTAGGTCCACGGAGAAGTATGTTCTCATTATGATAAAGACTGTATACATTGCATATAGGGTTAGACCCAAGGAGAGGAGGAAGAATGCCGGAGGCTGAAGGCCGAAGGCTGATGGCCGAAGGCTGAGGGCCGAAGGCGGAGGGCAGAAAGCTAAGGATCTAGCTGAAGGCAAATGATCCGTGGACTTGTAAATGGGCTTAGGAGTAAGCCCATGAGGCCCTTATGAGCCATATGGTGCCCTAGTAGCCTGTCTAACTTCCTCCTTTCTTGAAGGAGATGAGTCTCCTTTTATAAGTGAGGGAGAGTCCCATCTTTTTGTGTTTTGTCGATGTGAGACTCTCCTCCCCTTTGCTTGGATTGGCTTGGGAGTGCTTGGCCAGATATTGTACAAACACATGCTAAGGTTCAAGACTTCACCCTAGCAAAAGAGGATTAGTTACTCATATTCATAATTGAAATCCAAGAAAATATCATTAAGAAGAAAAGAATGACAACACCTGAAAGTTGCGAAAACCCAAAACCCTAGCAATTGCTCTCCACAATGCAAAGTTAAAAAGTGAAAAGGAAGTCCCCAAAATTCCCGTGAGAAAGAGCTTAAATACCCCCTTAAAACCTAGCTGCTAATGTACAGCTTTTCTATCCCTACAATGAAACTAATTAAAATAAAACAATATTAGGAAATAAAGTCCAAATTGGATTAGGAAAATCTGCCTAAAATCTGGCCAGCCACGTTTTAGCCTCAAATCTCCTCCAAATCTGGCCTAAGATAGCATGTTTTAAAGATAAAAATATTCTGAACACTTCTCTAGAAGGCCACGACCCATCTGAGGTCATCTTGGGCTCCAAAAACGCAATAAAGGCCCAAAACGTCACTATTTCAGCACCGCGCACTGCTTATTTATTTTATTGCCAGAAAATAACCGCTTGGTAGAAAAATATGAAATTTTGATACAATCAAGCTAAGTGACTCATGTACGTCCTCCAACTGGAATTACTCCAAAATTCGTCCATTTGATTATGTTCTGCTTCAGAGGAAGTCGAAAGTCCTATATTGTGAATATAATTCAAAGTATCAAAATTCTTCCAAAATATTAACCAAAATTTACTAAGAATGAGGTTAAATATATAATATAAAATATATCCATCACTATGCAAGGCATAAGCCTTGAAGCATTGAGGTGTTAGCCTTTTGAATATTAATTTATTTTAATAAGAAAAATTTATGAATAATACAATGCAATTAAATTGTACAACTAATTCTTATTGAACCATAACAATCTTTTAAATATAATCAAATATAAGTACTAATTGTCATTCAAAACATAATAATCAATCCCAAAACATAAAATATTTATTCAACATCAAAACAAAAATATAAGTCACTCATCCCACTCCTCAACATGAATATCAAAATAAAATGACGTCCTTGCATTCCAAAGATGAAGAGAATTCTTCAAATTGATAGAGATTATTTGATAAGGGTAGAAATTAGGGTTGTACTATATAATATATACAGAGAGCTTCCATTGAGGGATCCCTCAAATAAGCTTATTTGAGGGACACCCCTTGTAGGCCCCACTCCGGATTGTATTTCACTAATCCAAACCGTCTATTTTATAGATACTCATTCAAAGATCATCTCTATAAAAAATCACTTGAATTCGATATCATTTGACCACTCAATTGAGTTATTGAAATTTAAGTACTTTCTTGAAGCATTGTATTCATTGATTTTGTAAGACACAATTGGATGTCGAAACGGTTTTCGATTTGTCTAATTTTTTGTAAGGATGATCTATGAACGAAGACTTAAAAAATAGATGGTTTGGATCAT